GTTTTATAGCTGTTGGTTACCCGAATTAAAATAAATAAATAAATAATTTCTTCTTAATGACATCTTAATTTCATTGACATTCCTAATTTATTTTCTGACTTTACCTGTTTTAATTTATTTGAATTGTTAACAATAATAATAATACTAATTTTAATATAATTGTTCTTTAATTAGACATAAATTAATACTGTTAATACAATTTTATATTTCTACACCGGTAACGGTAGTATGTGTGGAACTTTGTAATTTTAAGATCTGTGTGCACCATGTACTGAGAAATAAATGACATTCATTCATTCATTCATTCAAAATTATTTATTAGATACCTAAGATTATTAAGCTGTTTACAATTTTATTATGAATTAAACCAGCTGTGACCATTAACTTTATATTTTGTTATGGGTTTGTGGCACTGACTTCTAACCTATCAGTGGGTGTGTAAGCTATAAGCTTTTAGTTTTTACTTTTCGTTTGTCTTTAGTTTTTGAAGGCGGTTTTTTTAAACGCAGTTTTTTAATTTTATTTTATTCTTTTTAGTTTAGTACTTTGATATATTATATTATAAACAACCCACATGGATGCAAAGTTTTCATTTATACAAATTATTCAAGCTCACACTCTTAACCATTGAGAAGTTCCTTTACCTATTATACTACTTCATAATTGGACCTTTGATGACCATCACACCCCCATCTAGGTGTAAAGTCCTCATCACTATAAATTATTAAACCCAAACACAAGGTAGCTACTGGTAACCGCCGAGGAGTTCCCTCAACTGTCATACTACTTCATCATCATACCCTTTATGACAATCACATCCCATCTAGATGTAAAGTCCCCATCAATACAATTTATCAAACCCAAACACAAAATAGCTACTGTTAACCGTTTAGGAGTTCCCTCAACTATTGTACTACTTCATCATTAGACCCTTATTGACAATAAATTCCTACCTAGGTGTAAAGCCCTCATCAATATAAATTAATTAAACCCAAACACAAGGTCGCTGCTGTTAACCGTTGAGGAGTTCCCTCGACTGGCTCTCGGCTCAATCATCAGATCGACTCCAGAACTTTATCAAATTGTAGTTGTTTTGAATACTTAAGGAAAAAATTAACAAGTTCTCTAGTCCTCCTACAATATTTAAAAGTTGCCCTCGGTTTCCCTAGTCTTCCATCATTAGATCCTGATTTCCTTATCATAACCATTCTGGGACTATCTCTTTTCCAACAAAAAAAGAATTATCAAAATCGGTTCATAAATAAGGAAGATATCGGCGAACAAACATAAAAATAGCATATATACGGTCGAATTGAGAACCCGCTCCTTTTTCTGAAGTCGATTAAAAATTTAAAAGATTTCAATTCAGATCACTATGAATTAGTTCCCTTAAATTGAAAACAAACGTAGGAATAGAGATGGGCACTGGGAAAAAACCCAAAGGGAAAAAACCCAGGTTTTTTCCCATTTGGGAAAAAACCCGGTTTTTATGTGGGAAAAAATCCAATAGGCGGGTATTTTCATTTATAATGATCTTATTCTATTTTTATTTTCAGAACTAAATAAATAGGTACTTTGTGATGCGCATATACCTACATTCACTCAAAAAAGTATCGGGAATGGATGATTTGGTTATGGTTCCAAATTCAAAATTTTTGTTTTTATGTAGTTGTTAGATTGGCACAACTGTTTTCCATTTTGGCGCGGAGTTTGAGTTACATCTGTTATTTATATTAAATAGAGCGCTGGTTTCTATAATAATTGTGAATTTCATAATGGACACAAATATCGATCAAAGAGTTTGTCTTAAATTTTGCATCGCCAATGGAATTTCGTGTTC